AGCTACAGATACGTTTTGACAACTGCAATGGGCAACAGATGCGTTATTTCATAGAAAACAAGACAAGTTTTCAAATGGTTGAAAGTGATTCGTATTTTGAGGCTTACAGACACAATCTCAGTGCCTTACAAAAGTTAACAGACGAAAACTTGCCTTTCAAGGACTATATAGTTTTCGGCAATAAAGATGTCTTACCACCAAAGTACCTTCTTGAAAATGCAGAGGAGCCGAAAGAACCAAACGAGGAAGAAGGAGATAGAGGAAAGGTTGCACACGAGGAAAGTTTGTCGACTGTCAAGGAAACAGAGAATGCAAAAGATGATGACGAATTGTCGGAGGGCGAATTGGATCCCGCAACCGTTTACTTTGATTTGAAAATCATTTGTGATCCAAAATATTCAGAAGACTGCGACCAAAATATGTCGAGTGTCCCAGTGCTGGAACTTGACCAATGGCCAAACAAGGAAGTATTAGGACTTGATGAGTCACAGTACCGTGCATGTCAGCTTGCACTCACTAAGCGCTTTGCGCTCATTCAGGGTCCACCTGGTACCGGTAAGACTTACGTAGGGCTGAAGATTGCACATGCTCTACTTGATAACCGAGATTTGTGGAGTGGAGAAAACAGGTCTCCTATTCTGATGGTGTCCTACACCAATCATGCCCTGGACCAGTTCCTAATGGGCTTGAACAACAAACAAGGTTAGTTGCGTCGCTACACTTTATTCCTCTCCTCTCCTTTCCTCTCTTAGCTTCTCCTTTATTTCCCGCCCTTGTCTTCTGTTCTTTTATCATTTATAAATACATTATAAGCAAACAACAATCAGCAGCATATGCAGGTAGCAATTAGTAAGTTAACAATAAACATTAAACCCTGTCGTATTTTCAAACACCTGAGAGATCTCGACGTACTACAATGGCCGAGAGCGGACATGAAAAAAGTCAAAGTAAAGAAAGTCAAAAGTTAAAAAGTCAAACTGATTTAGGACCATATTACAAAGTGAGTTTGTCTCTTTGATCAAATTCCTCTGTCATCACCGCATTTGGCTTTAGTTGGAATCGATTTTTCTCATTATTATTAGTACTCACTATCTCGCTTCTGATTGGCCGAGAGCCTTCAACCAATCCCTAAAACCATGTCAACTTGACATGATAACTGAATTAATTGGTATTCAAATACGCTTGCTATCTTTTTTAAAGAGAAAATTAAATCTTTATTCTTAGGCCTAGGCAAACATCGAACTTTCCATGCACTGAACTCATTAAAAACAATGCGATATCGGTGATAATGAGGTGGGGGGGAAAACCAGATGAGAATGAGGCGGCATTCTTTGATGTAATCAAGTTCGGTGCATGGAAAGTTCTGACTAGCCTCGTGTTCACGTGGAAACATAAAAGCGTTTTCACATGTGTAAGAGGCTAGTCAGTCGCTAGTCAGTCCAGAACAATAGTTATTCAAATTGGTCGCCATATTTCGATTCGGTGTATAATAAAGCAATTATTGAATTCGGTTTTATTAAATTATCAAGACCTCGGGCTTTTTGTATATCGGCCACAGCATACGGCTTCAGCAGATAAAACGACCTTGATCTTCTTGATAAATTATACGACATCATTTACCACCCCATCTTATAATTGTTTAATATCGCGGAGGTCATGAGTTCGATTCCCGTTGAAGCTTGAAATCACTTTTTCAAGTCTTTCTTTACAGCGTTCGCTTAGATCGCTCATTCACTGTGATGATCAACACATCTATCATTATTCCACTTAGTTCTACCCATTCAATATTCACACATAATTGTTTAATATTTAATTGTTAAATGTTCGTTTTCTTATTTGTGATTGATATATTCTCATTTCCCCTGTCTATGTCGTTACGCCTTAATTTGTACAATGGTGCAGTAGCATTACTGAAACTACTTTGTTGTCTTTTCTCAGGAATAGTTAGAGTCGGCAGTCGTTCTAGAGTAGAAGAACTTTACAATTACAATTTGAAGATGTTAAGGAAAAGGAAACATCATGATGAGGATGTTGATTTGTTATATCTTCGAGAAAAAGATGGTATCCGTCGAAAGATAATGGAAATTGAGTCGAAATACTTACCAAAGGAGGCAGCTTCCCTGCTAGCTCAGAGCAATAAAGCCGTTATATCGCTGAAAGGACTGCAAAAGTTTATAGAGTTTGAGCATTTCAAAGCGTTAAAGCCTTTCGAACAATGTTCTTACGTTCAGATGGATGAAGAATTGCTGAGGTGGTTAGACATTGAGATCCGTCCCGCCAAAAACCGTGCACGCAAAGAAGAAGACAAGCAGTTCCTTAAGGAAATCCAAAGGATGTCGTCCTTTAGGGAGTCTATTGACGAAGATATAGAAGTAATAGATACCGAAAAAGGAAAGTTTTTCCCTGCTTGTTACATCGATGACGCTGTTGAACCAAATAAGCTAAGAGATAGTCTCGAGAATTCTTACATCATGGCTGAAAGAAGAGAAATTGCAATTGATGACATCTGGCAACTCAGGCTTGATGAACGATGGAGACTCTATCGACTCTGGCGAGATCGCTTGCAAGATGACTGCCAAAAACGAATCATAGACAGCCAGGATACAGGTTACGAGACAGAGCTAAAGAAACTGCAAGAAAGCAATGAAGATGTTGACTTCAAAATCTTTCGGAATTCCAGAGTTATTGGCATGACAACATCTTGCGCAGCGAAGTATCATTCACTTCTCCAGCGAGTCAAACCAAAAGTTGTCATCGTGGAAGAAGCTGCTGAGGTGCTTGAGGCTCACATCTTGACGTCACTTCCGTTGGATTGCGAGCACGTGATTCTTATAGGAGATCACCAACAACTGAGGCCAAGCTGCACGGTGTACGAGCTGGCAAAGAAGTACAACTTGAATATTTCTATGTTTGAACGGTTGGTAAAACTACAGATGCCTTGTGTGCGGTTGTCGGTGAGTACGGTTGCAATGTTTTAAATAATTTGGAATAAATATGTTCATACCCTTGGTCATGTGCTCCAATTGATGTAACCCTCCCATACCTAACCATGAGATATTCTACCCCTACCCTTGGTCATGTGCTCCAATTGATGTAACTCTCAAATACCTTAAGCATGGAATATTCTTCACCTACCCTGGGACATGTGCTCCAATTGATGTTACCCTCCCATAACCTAAGCATAGAATATTCTACCCTATCCTTGGTCATGTGCTCCAATTGATGTAACCCTCCCTTAAGCATGGAATATTCCACCCCTATCTTTGGTCACGTGCTCCAATAGTCTATCTCCCTTTGGCTTCGACAACCTCCTTTTAAACATATCATTATCACTATCACAGGAACAGCACCGTATGAGACCAGAGATCGCATCTCTTATGAAGCATATCTATGAAGACCTTCAAGATCATCCCTCTGTTAAGGAATATGACAATATGCGAGGTGTGGAACATAACGTTTTCTTTATCGACCATAGGTAAGTAGATATCTGAACGAATACAAACGTCACGTTTAATTCAGCGTAACCCTCCTCAGCATATTTTATGCGCCATTTTTCAATTATCCCTTTCACAGTTCCCTGCGCTATCTTGTCCAAGGTGTTTAAAAATATAGTTTTCATTGCAAAGTCACCTTACTTGCTTCGATGCACAGGCACAGTTACCTTTCAATATAGCGCAGGGGAGCTGTGAAAGACACTATTCGCAGATTGTCTAAATATCTTTGTCCGACTGAGCCAAATCTCTCGATTTACCCTCCTCATCTTCTCCGATCCATATCACATGGCTCTCACAAATATTCCTTGTTTTTATGGGCATTAAATATTTTATTGTGTTAAACATGTCATTGCTGTTTCGCCAGAGTCATTGTTTAACATCCAAAAACACTACTTTGTCCTGAAACGGAAGCATACGATTCTTCGCTTGTCTTTGAAAACTTGTATTCCTGAAACTATGAGGAGGGTCCTCCATGAAGGGGTAAAGTGGGAGCTGGGATTCGCCTTTTTTGGCCTGCAAAATTGAATTTCATGGACTAGGAACAAAACAAATCAAAAATGGGAATGAGGATTGAGATGTGAGCAAAACAAAGACTTGAGTTGTGAGATTTGGTCAAAATGGGGGCTGGGAAATGCGATTAGGGCCCCCCTTCAGGACCCTCTATAAGGAAAAAACATGTAAAATAGATGAGCTCATTATATTTGCTTTACACTACACAGACATCATGAGGATAGCAGTGAGGATTCCTTCAGTCATTTGAACGAACACGAAGCTCAGTTTCTAGTAAGGCTTTGTCGGTATTTCGTACAACAAGGCTATGAACCAAGTCAAATAACCATCCTCACACCCTATCTTGGGCAGATGTTCATGATCAGAGATCACATGACTGAAGGCGATGACGATTTGAGAAAGCAGGTATAAGAACTTTAAAACATTTTGGGACGGAGTAAGAAGCAAGCATCAGTTATGTTTATCAAACATTACCATGAAACACACTCTGGGCTGAACTAAGACCGGGCACACAGAAAACTCACCAATCAAACCCTGAAATATCCCTCTGGGCGATATTGGTTTGCGGAGGGAGGAAAACCCTACCCTGGGTTCCAGATGAAACCCACAGCCAAGAATTACTGGAGAGAGAGCCTCTGCATGGAGAGCAAGGCAAGGACACGCTCTCGAGGGTTGAAAACATTTACCCCATAAGTATTCTCTATTTTTTTATTCATTCGAACTAGACGCGGCTAACGACCATAGACAACTACCAGGGTGAAGAGAATGACATCATCCTGTTATCCTTGGTGCGTAGCAACGACACTGGTCACGTGGGATTCGTCAATGA